TAATTAAAGGACTCCCTACCTTACAAATTGCGCGCTCCAACCTTCCATCGCAATCCTGTGATAGGCGGCGGGCACGGCGTGTGCGACGTCGTGTTAGGGGAGAAGTTCCCGGACCCCCGGAGTAGCTTCTATCTTCGGACGAGATTGCAAAGTCAATCAAAAACACGATTGTGTGCACTGTCTAAGAGAGTAAAAGCTCAAAGGATATTATTCTGCTTGATTATCCTTAAATTTCGATGCCATGAGCGTTTTTTTAAAGGCTGGTACTGTTGTTCATGAATTCATGCATGCTTTGGGTGTCCAGCACATGCAACAACGAGGTGACAGAGATCAATTCATCATTGTCAATTTGACAAATGTGAATGTAAGTTTAGCCCTCTCTGATTTGCTATTTCTTGAACCACTAGAACTTCTCATTGGCATTATACGATACAGACGGCCTTTATCTCAATTACATGACGGTGCTCGCATTCTCTACTTATTTTTGAAAAAGTCACAAAACATTTTTCTATAATCTTGAGTGCGAGATATGTTACCATACTGAAGTGGATTTAGGGGAGAACAAGACCAAAAGGAAATTCGAAACACGCTCTCAAAGATTTTTTGACGCTTGCCCTAGACCTCTGCGATTTCATGGAAATATGGAGTTGTACACAATGAATGGGCGGGGATACCTGGACTTAAGCGTTGTCCGTGAATCTTTTCACTAGGCAGAGGATGTAGCAAATGCCTTATGAAAGCAAGAGATTTGGAAATGTTCTGAAATGAAAGGTGACATTGCCTGGGAACCTTTTATTTCGGAGCATCTGTTGGCGATTTTTAAAACTACATGTCGGTGTTGGAAAAGTGGAAGTGGGATACACAGTCGGCAGTGCACTGAATTATTCTCCCAGCTATGGCACAAGGTGATCGACGGTTTCATTACATGGTTCCATTTCATCTTTGTTATCTCAATGGGTGTCAGACACCCATGTACCCTACCAATAGAGTCTGGATCCAGTTTTTACATGGGTTGATCCGCACGGTGTCCCGAGTAGGTGCTACGAAAAAAGGCAGCTCAGCTTTAAATGGTAGCTGAGATGGCCTGCTAAACCAGATTGATCGATAAATCAAAAAAGGAAAAAATTAGAAATATTGCCCGACTCTAAAAATTGATCTAGTGATCCACTCTCTCGATGATGCCTTTTATAGTCCTCAGAAGAACTCCTCAACCTATTCGTAGGTTGAATCCAGCATGACATAGTCGTGTTTCAGCCGGATGTACGATACAACTTCCAGAAGGATACTTCTTTAGTCAACCACACACCATACGAGTACGGCAGTGTCATGCAATATGCCACCACCGCGTTCGTGATACAATTTCTAAATCAATTAATTTATTCGTAAGAATTCTCTGAACAAGGTATGACAAAGATGTCACCTGGGGAAAGTTCAGATTCGCCTCAAGTGGGAACTCGATGACACCTCGCACAGCTGGATTTGGCCGCACCATGGGATCGCAAGTTGTCTCATTTTTCGATATCAGAATGTTAAATATCTTCTACCAATGCAACGGTAAGTCACGAATTCAGCTATTTTTGTCATATTTTCCATGAAATATGAAAATGGCTTAAATAATGCTGGAAGAATGGCGATAGTTGCAGGCATAAAAAGGATAGCTCCTGTTTGTTTACATTGTTTATTTTAGTATCTCGGTCGATGATTTAATTTTTGAGAAGCTAATAGCGTCCAAATGTTGAGAGATTTGGGTGAAACTTACCTGCAACTAGCGCATCTCTTCTAGACTAATGAGTTCTACCCAGTCCCATAGCAAAAACTTTACTGCTTCGATTAAACATAGCTCCTTTGGGAGAAAGCGCTCTGAAGAGAAACATGAACAGAAAGTGTATCCGATAGTAAAGCCATACCCCAAAACTAATGAGCTCTCGAGCCTTCATGGGGTTAAAGGACGAAAATGTTGATGCGAAGTAGTGAAACGATGGAGGCGATCGCAGAAAACCCGATTTTCAAGACCTCTTGAACTAATCATTTCTGAATTTGAACGAGGTTGTGGCGACGAAGGGGACGTTTGACCAGCTTCGTTGGCTATAGATGGCAGTACTAGCTATAAGCGTGTTTAAGTAGAGTACATTTACAAGAAACGTGCTCCATTTTAAATGATAAGGTTCTCTAGGCCGAACACGTCTTTTTACTTTCCGGGAAGCATGCAGCGAAAGTGGGCGTCGGTAAAAGTTTCCAGTCTCAATCGCTTCTTATCTGTTGTGAGCTTTCAACAAGACAATGCCTATTGTGGCCTTTTCGGCTACCATAGATCCTTACTGATGGCAACCACGGGAACCTTTTCATCGCGAGAGGTTCCCGTGGTTGCCGTCAGTAAGGATCAGCCTTCAATTTTTTGTTTCAGTTTAGATGGGTGTTTATAATTGAAACGATTCATTTCCTTTTTTGTTCCTTTTAGCACCGTGTAATGGCCTTGCAACAACAGCAAAGTGTCTGAACGGAGGAGTACCCAATCCGAGGAATTGCAAAGTATGCCTGTGTCCCCCTGGCTACGGTGGAGGTCTTTGTGGACAACGTGTATGTTCGATACCTATTTTCATCTGCCTAGCATATAGGAACTCGCTTCCTTGGAAAATCAAAACCAAGTTCACTCGAGGCTTATTTTTCAGAAGCCAGGATGCGGTGCAGCGCTGGTGGCCATCAAGACGTGGAAAGCCAGGACCATTTCCATTGTTAAAAACGACACATCACCCACAAGTGACGCCTACGTGACATGCAACGATTGGATTACGGTAAAGTGTTCTTTTTGAAAACTTCTGCATTAATCCACCTCAATTGTAGTTCCCATAATTTATTATTTTTGCTGATCCTGTTGTGTATTTATTTTCCATTTTNCGGATAATGACAATGACGAATGTTACGTGTCGTAACGGCTGTACAGCAAATGCGATTGAACCGAAAGTTATGGTTAATAAGGCCATAACAAACAGACGGTACTTTTCGCTACGGAATACTTTCAGATAATTCAAATTACCTGCCCTGAAATTCATGAGCTACTTTTAGAGGTTTAACTAATAACTTCTTTTCTTGGGATCGAGACCGCATGGTGAAAAAGGTTTCGGTCTGACATTAAGCACTGCAATGAGTGCAGAACAAAGTTTCACTTTCGGCTTCTGGATAATTATAATTACAGCTTATTACTCCTACCGAATAACGGGGTCAAGGCAATATTTACAAAACGAATGAAGATTATTGCTATTAAGTTTGAAAAGCGTCTGCCGGAGAATTCCGAAAAAAAAACCGGATTCTTCCCTGAATATTCCATAGAGGTTCTAGGTTCTAGAAGTTCCATAGAAATACTATATGAGAGCTCATCTAACTTGTTTTCGTCCGAGGAACTCCCGGTAAACATCTCTAATAGCCATGAAGGGACATCAAAGCTCAGTTCTTGACACAAGTTCTAGGGGGCTCCAGCGGGTTTCAGCAGCGGAGGGCCGGAATTCGAATTCCTATAGAAATGCGTGTTGAATATGAAAATCCATTTTGGTCACGGTAGGGAGCAAGGGCCATGGAGCTGGATATGTTAGGTACATACGATAGATCCTTAGGTAGCATTTCCATCTGCAAAACCAATGTTGTTGCCAGCGGCTAGATATGGGCTATTCACTTTGAATTAAAAGCTTTTGGAGCTGAGACTCTTATGTAGGTCCAATATAGAAAAAATCTTCAAGGAGAAGAAGTTCTGTCGAGGCGGTACAACTTTCTGCTATTGTACTTGCCCATTAATATCGCTGCTCCTATGATTACATCTATAGAAGCAACCTTTCCTCTGAAATGTAAATCACTACACAACGATGTAAAGTTTCATTGTCCGAATATTATGGATCGAAATCGTCATTTTTTCCCTTGCAGGGTGTTTATAACATTTTTGTTTTCTTCAAAACTCGACTGCATTTCAGACTGTGTTGCCCTGGAGAACTGAACACGATTCGTACTAGCAATATCAGCCCGACACCGGTCGTTGCCTACACCAACAGTAATGTTGCCTCGACATTCATGTATCACTACAGATTTATTTGATTTCTGCGATTTTTGTTGTTTGTGTGCAACAAACTTAAATAATTACCAATATTGTTTGTCGAATTGTCGGTTGACTTTAGCAGCTGGAACATTCAAAAAATCCTCTAAAGAAACAAACAGCTCCACCTAAGATTGAAAAGATAATAAGGTAAGCTTTTTGTCATTGATCAATCTTGTTTGTGGGATGATGTCTGATACGAATTCAAACCACAATTAATTGGAGTGGGAAAAGAAAAAGAACAGGTTTTCTGTTGAGATTGACGCAAGGATACCGGAGGCCGTAGTAGTTGTGCCAAGACAACATGAAGTTTAGAATCCATCCTCGCTCAGACGAACTTCCGACCTCTGCGGTGGGAGACATAGGAGAAAAGTGGTGGAAATGAAGGTCATGAAAAGCGAAGCTGTTTGTTCGTGAAAATGGAAATTTTTCATGCTTCCGCTCTACGCCCGCTTCAAAAAAATCTCATGACACCCGGAAGGTGGAATCGAACCACTGCGGCTGCTAACCGCCTACAGGTTTGAAGCCTGCACCCCGGACCACCGAAGATCATCCGGGCAG